GGCCTCCCCGGAGGCCCAGGGCCCATCACCCTCGGGATGCTCCCGCGCGGCAGTGCCTCCCGAGCGAAGTGAACCCCACCCTCCCCCTCAGAAATCGTGGGGTAGGGGTAGGGTTCGCATGTGGCCCCCTGTCCTCCCCCCACCGTGGCCCCTAGGAAGCCCGGGGCCGGCCGCGGGGGCGCGGCGACGACCGCGGGCTCCGCGCGTCGCGGCCCGGGGGCGAAGCAGCGGCCCTCCTCCGGGGCGGCCGCGCGGGGGCGCGAGGGCGCGAAGGTAACCGCGCGTCGCGCGTTAGGGGGCCACATGCGAGCCCGACCCCTGCCCCCCACGATGTCCGAGGGGGGTAGGGGTAGGGTTCACATCTGGCCCCCTAAAGCAGCTGCCCTTCTCCAGGTCGGCCGCGCGGGGGCGCGAGGGCGCGAAGGCACCGCGCGTCGCGCGTCGCGCATCCGCGGGGCGCGATGCGTGACGTTCCAGGTGCCCCCCAGAAGGCCACAGAGCAGCGCAGCGCGCCCTCCCGCGCAGCGCAGCTTCGCCCGGCCGCCCAATGCGCACGGTGAGAGCCTCTTCGTGGCCGGGGCTCGCCGTGGCCGGGCCCCTTGGCATTCCCGCGGGTGCCACGCTCGCGAGCGCCCCGCCCCGTAGTCAGCCATGGCTCCGTACAGTGCCGTTTTTAATACATGCGCTCCGCGTGCGGATCACGTATTAAAGAAGTGCAGGGTTTAGTGCTAAAAACAACGATGAGCTCATGCACAAATTCATTCATACATTAATCATGTGTTAAAAATCCAATGCTCCCATGTATTAAAAACTGCCCTGTATGGTGGCTCCGTAGTGGCCGCCCCAGAATCAGCGCTCTGGGTAGCTGGCTCCCTACGCTGGCACGATGGGGTCGTCGCCCTTTGGCGCAGCCCCGCGAGAAGGGAAGCAGACGGAGAAGCGCAGCGCGTCCTCCTGCGAGCGCAGCTTGGCCCCGGCCCGCCCCGCGCCGCCCGCCGACGCCTGGCCTGCGATGGAATGCCCTCGTCGCGCGACCTGCTGCCCTCCCCAGGCGGTGGGCCGCCGAGCGGGTTCCGCCCCTCGCCGCGGCTGGGGCGGCAGTGGCAGCCCCTGCTGCCTCTCTCTCTCTCTCTGCCTGTGTGTGTGCGTGTGCGTGTGCGTGTGCGTGTGCGTGTGTGTGTGTGTGTGTGTGTGTGTGTGTGTGTGTTTGTCTCTCTCTCTCTGTCTCTGTCTCTGTCTGTGTCTCTCTTTTTCTCTCTCGCTTTTTTTTCCCAACCATCCTGTGGTGTTGGGTCTTCGTTTTGAAGAGACGGTTCCCGCGTCCTCCTCTCCTCTCCTCTCCTCCTCTCCTCTCCTCCTCTCCTCCTCTCCTCTTCACCCACCCAGTACACCGTTTCGTGGCCCCATAGGGAGCTCCGCCGAAGGCCCCAGTGCTGCCGCCCGCATGCGTCACCCACACTCAATTCGGCACACCCCTCACACGTTTCGTGGCCCCATAGGGAGCCCCACCGAAGGCTCCAGTGCTGCCGCCCGCATGCGTCACCCACACCCAATTCGGCACACCCCTCACACGTTTCGTGGCCCCATAGGGAGCCCCACCGAAGGCCCCAGTGCTGCCGCCCGCATGCGTCACCCACACCCAATTCTTTACGCTTCGCGTACCCCCACCAGCCCATCTCAAAACAGCAACTCTTGCGAAGCATGCCGACAGTCGTGTTTTTCAGGCGTGTTTCCGCCTGCCCCCGCATATCTCCCCTGTTCCTCCTTCCTCCCGCCTCCTTGTACATCCTCCTTGTGGTGGGAGCGGGAGAAGGACGAGGCGGAGGAGGAGGGAGAGAAAGCGCTCCTCGTGGTTTGAGTCGTTTGGGTTTTCTCGTCCTGGTGTGAGTCGTTCGGGCCCTTCTTCCTGGTGTGAGTCGTTCGGGCTCTTCGTGGTGTGAGTCGTTCGGGCTTTCGTCCTGGTGTGAGTCGTTCGGGCTTCTCGTGGTGTGAGTTGTTCGGGCCCCTCGTCCTGGTGTGAGTCGTTCGGGCCCCTCCTCCTGGTGTGACTCGTTCGGGCTCCTCGTGGTGTGAGTCGTTTGGGGCCCTCGTCGTGGTGTGAGTCGTTCGGGCTCCTCGTGGTGTGAGTCGTTCGGGCGCCTCGTCCTGGTGTGAGTCGTTCGGGCCCCTCCTGGTGTGAGTCGTTCGGGCTCTTCGTGGTGTGAGTCGTTCGGGCCCCTCGTCCTGGTGTGAGTCGTTCGGTCTTATCGTGGCGTGAGGCGTTCGGGCAACCTCGTCCCCTTTTGGGGCGTCTTGGGGGCCTCTTGGCGGCCCCAGGGGCTTCTAGGAGCGTCTTGGGTGCCTTGGGGGAGCCTCTTCGGGCCTCTTGGGAGCCTCTTGGAGGCCGTTTGGGGCGTCTTGGGGGCCTCTTGGCGGCCCCAGGGGCTTCCAGGAGCGTCTTGGGTGCCTCGGGGGAGCCTCTTGGGGCCTCTTGGGGGCCTCTTGGGGGCATCGTGGGGGCCTCTTGGAGGCCTCTTGGGGGCCTCCTGGGGGCCTCTTGGGGCCATCTTGGGGCCTCTTGGTGCCTCCTGGGCGCTTCTTGGGGCCATCTAGGAGGAAATCGATCAAATAAGAGGGGAGCTTTAATTAGCGCTGCCCCCTCAGAAGGCCAAAATGGGGCCAAAACCGTCATTTTTTCTCCCTCCCCCCGTCGGGGCTAGAATCCTCGTGAGGGGTGTCGTTTTTTTTTAGCCACCCCTCACGAGGATTCTGGCCCCGACGGGGGGAGGGAGAAAAAAATGCTCTCCTCTTCTTTGAAGCCAGACTCATTGATTTTACTACGGTTTTGGCCCCATTTTGGCCTTCTGAGGGGGCAGCGCTGATTAAAGCTCCCCTCTTCTTTCAAGCCAAAATCATTGATTTTAAGAAGGTTTTGGCCTCATTGATTTTACGAAGGCTTGCGTTGAAGAAAGCGAGGATCTTTCATGAGCGCAGCCCCCCTGAGAAGGGCCAAATGGGGCGACAACCGTAGTACAATCAATGATTTGTGCTTCACGGAAGAGGAAGTAGTAGTAGTAGTAGTAGTAGTAGTAGTAGTTAGTAGTAGTAGTAGTAGTAGTAGTAGTAGTAGTAGTAGTAGTAGTAGTAGTAGTAGTAGTAGTAGTAGTAGTAGTAGTAGTAGTAGTAGTAGTAGTAGTAGTAGTAGTAGTAGTAGTAGTAGTAGTAGTAGTCGTTTAGTAGTATAGTAGTAGTAGTAGTAGTAGTAGTAGTAGTAGTAGTAGTAGTAGTAGTAGTAGTAGTAGTAGTAGTAGTAGGAGTAGTAGGAGTAGTAGGAGTAGTAGTAGGAGTAGTAGTAGTAGTCGTAGTAGTAGTACTTGTAGTCGTAGTAGTGACCGTAGCACCATGCGTAGAAGTAGTACTAGTAGAGGTAGAAGTAGTAGTAGTAGTCGTAGTAGTAGCAGTTCTAGCAGCAGTAGTAGTGATGGTAGTCGTAGTAGTTATAGTGGTAGTTGTCGTGATAGTAGCAGGAATAGGACGAGTAGTACTAGTAATAGTCGTATTCGAAGTAGTGAGAGCAGCACTAGTAGTAGTCCCAGTAGTAAGAGTAGCAGTGGTAGCAGTAGCAGTAGTCCCAGTAGTATTAGTAGCAGTGGTAGTAGTAGCGGTGGTAGTGGCAGTACTAGTCGTAGTAGTAGCAGGAGTAGTAGGTGTAGGAGTAGTAGGAGTAGTAGTACTAGGACTCGTGCTAGTAGTAGTCGCCAAAGTCAAAAAGTTGTAGTAGTAGGAGATGATGTCGTGATACGAGTATGAGTAGTACTAGTAGTAGTATTAGTCGTCGTAGGAGGAGAAGTAGTAGCAGATGGCTTTTGGGAGCCTCGTGGGGCCTCTTGGGGACCTCTAGGGGGCATCTTTGGGGCCTCTTGGAGGCCTCTTGGGGGCCTCCTGGGGGCCCCTGGGGGCCATGGCAGTATGACTGGTAGTAGTAGTCGGAGTAGTTGTGGTAGTCATAGGAGCAGAAGTAGTAGTAGATTTTTTTTGGGAGCCTCTCGGAGGCCTCTTGGGGCGTCTTCGGCCCGTCTGGGGGCCTCTGGGAGACCTCTTGGGGCCATCGTGGGGGCCTCTTGGAGGCCTCTTGGGGGGCTCCTGGGGACCTCTTGGGGCCACCTTGGCGCCTCTTGGTGCCTCCTGGGCGCTTCTTGGGGCCATCTTGGAGGGAATGGATCGAAGAAGAGGGGAGGTTTAATGAGCGCTGCTCCCTCGGAAGGGCTAAATGAGGCCAAAACCTTTGTAAAATCAATAATTTTGCCTTCAAGGACGAGGAGAGCTTTCAGGAGCGCTGCCCCCCCACCGAAAGCCCCAGTGCTGCCGCCCGCATGCGTCACCCACACCCAATTCGGCACACCCCTCAAACGTTTCGTGGCCCCATAGGGAGCCCCACCGAAGGCCCCAGTGCTGCCGCCCGCATGCGCCCCGCACGCCCAATTCGGCACACCCCTCACACGTTTCGTGGCCCCATAGGGAGCCCCGCCGAAGGCCCCAGTGCTGCCGCCCGCATGCGTCCCGCACACCCAATTCGGCACACCCCTCACACGTTTCGTGGCCCCATAGGGAGCCCCACCGAAGGCCCCAGTGCTGCCGCCCGCATGCGTCCCCACACCCAATTCGGCACACCCCTCACACGTTTCGTGGCCCCATAGGGAGCCCCACCGAAGGCCCCAGTGCTGCCGCCCGCATGCGTCCCGCACACCCATTCGGCACACCCCTCACACGTTTCGTGGCCCCATAGGGAGCCCCACCGAAGGCCCCAGTGCTGCCGCCCGCATGCGTCCCGCACACCCAATTCGGCACACCCCTCACACGTTTCGTGGCCCCATAGGGAGCTCCACCGAAGGCCCCAGTGGCGGCGCTCACATGCGCATGCGTCCCGCACACCCATTTCGGCACATCCCTGACAGGTTTCGTGGCCCCATCATCCACCGGAGGCCCCAGTGGCGGCGCTCACATGCGTCACCCACACCCACCCAATTCGGCACACCCCTCACACGTTTCGTGGCCCCATAGGGAGCTACACCGAAGGCCCCAGCGGCCACGCTCACATGCGTCCCCACCACCCATCCCGGCACGCCCCTCACAACAACAGGTTTCGTGGCCCCATAGGGAGCTCCACCGAAGGCCCCAGTGGCACCGCCCGCATGCGTCACCACCCGCACCCAATTCGGCACACCCCTCACACGTTTCGTGGCCCCATAGGGAGCACCGAAGGCCCCAGTGGCGGCGCTCACATGCGTCCCCGCCACACATCCCAGTACACCCCTCACGCGCTTCGTGGCCCCATAGGGAGCTCCACCGAAGGCCCCAGTAGCGGCGCTTACATGCGTCTCCGCCACCCATCCCGGCCCCCCCCCCCCGCAGCAGCATCATGTTTCGGGGACCCATAGGGAGCTCCACTGGAGGCCCCAGTGGCGGCCCGCACATGCGTTTCCGCCACCCATGTCGGCACGCCCCGCGCGTGTTTCATGTCCCCATAGGGAGCTTCGCCGAATGCCCCAGTGGCACCCATCTCGGCACACCCCTCACACGTTCCGTAGTCCTATGGGGAGTTCCATTGAAGATGAAACCCGCAGCTGCGGTACTGACAACTGCATATGGTTGGGTTCTTCGCCAGGCTAATGTTCTTTCTCTCTCTCTCTCTTTCTCTTGCGCTTTCTCGCTCTCTCTCTCTCTCTCGCTTTCTGTCTCTCTCTCTCTCTTTTTTGTTTGTCAATCTCTCTGTCTTGTTTCTACATGTATACTCAGGGACAATATTATTGCGGATGCTGCGAAAGATATTGTGGATGCTAAAACCAACAGCAAGTCAGAGTATTCATAACAGCACGATGCATGACACTACCAGTAAGACAATTAGGATGACGGCAACTCCTAACACTAGTCGTGCAGATAGTAAGGCCCATGTTAACAACATAACAGCAATGCTTAGTCTAATTATCTTTCATTATCACGCTTGCGCTTTCGAGTAATACGGCGAATCACAATATGACAGCACTGGTCGTGCTAAAATCAATGGTTTCAATGGTGATCACACCAACCATCTTGTATGCACGTAAGCTTTCGGAGCTCTGCGCGGACTGATCGGATCGGCGCTGCAGCGCGCGGGGCACGCTGGGGGCGGCGCCGGAGGCGCCGCCAGGGGGGCCCAGCGCCGATGCTAGGATGACGATAATGAGGAATAGCAGGAAGAAGGGGACCAGGAGGAGGAGGTGGAGGAGCAGGAGGAGGAGAAGGAGGAGGAGGAGGAGGAGGAGGAGGAGGAGGAGGAGGAGGGAGGAAGAAGAGGAGGGGGAGGAGGAGGAGGGGGAGAGGGGGAGGAGGGAGGAGGAGAGGAGGAGGAGGAGGAGGAGGAGGAGGAGGAGGAGGAGCACGAGGAGGAGGAGGAGGCGGAGGAGGAGGAGGAGGAGGAGGGGGAGGAGGAGGAGGAGGAGGAGGAGGAGCATGAGGAGGAAGGAGGAGGAGTGAGCAATCCGCGCGGACCTCTGACAGTCTGTGCTCATGCCGTCGTGGGCTGCTCCGAGCGGGCCCGACTCCTCCTGGTCTCCCTCCTGGGCCAGCGCCTCTCGCTCTCCCTCCTCCCTCTGCATGGTGGCTGAATTGGCTTCCCAATGACTTCAGCAAAACGGGGTGCGTTCAGCAAAACGGGGTGCGTTCGGCGAATGCGGAATTCGCCTACCGCACCCCGTTTTGCTTGACTCGCCGGCGCAGTCCCTCTGCACTAGCCGCCGACGCAGAAAGCTCATGCCGTCTCATGCTCCTGCCGCCGCGGCTGCAGCCCCTCTCCCAGCACTCGCTCCCGCGCTCGATCACTGGTCCAGGCCGGCTCGCGACAGCGCGACGCCGCTCGTCCACCTGACGCGATGTTGGGGCGCAGCGAGGAGAGGCGAGGCTTCCGAGAGGTCGCCAGAAACCTCTGCGGGCTCCCAGGGACCTCCAAGGGGCTGCGGGGCCCTCGGACGGCCTCAGACGGGGCCACTCGGATACAACTCTTGGGAGGTCGAATTCCGACCTTGTCCTGGTCCGAAATGCGAAATCCGGCCTAACCCGGCTTGATTCCATTGGACCTGGCCGAATCCTGCTCGATCCGGCTTGATCCCGCTTCATCCGCAGCCCAACCCAGCGCAGCAGCCCCCCAGTGGGGCTTAGTCTTGCCCAGCCCTTCCGCCGAAGGCCTCCCAGCAGTTGTCTCATGAGGGCCGGCCAGGGTCCGCCTCGATCCGCTTCGATATCCCTGTCGGCCAGCCCGATCCAGTCCCGGTTCGATATTCCTCCTCCTTCGCCTCCTCCTCCTTCTCCCTTCTCCTCCTCCTCCTCCTCCTCCTCCCTTCTCCTCCTCCTCCTCCTCCTCCTCCTCCTCCTCCTCCTCCTCCTCCTCCTCCCCCTCCTCCTTCAACTCCTCCACCCTCCTCCTCCTCTTCCCTCCTCCTCTTCCTCCTCCTCTGGCCGCCCGCCCCCTCGCCTCAGAGACCCTCCACTCGGCACACGCTGCCGGAGTACCTCAACCTCGAGGACGCGGTGGCGAGCAGATCCTCGGTGGCGGACGGGGCTGACGACGAGGAGAGCTCGGACGAGGCCTGCGACCTGGGCACGGGTTCGGGGATTGCTAGAGGCGTCCCGTGCCCAAGGCGCCCCAAGACTTTCGCTCCATCTTGGAGACCCTGGGCCCCGCTTTGCGTCATGAGGGGTGCTCTGGAGGCCGAGGGGGTTTCCTTGCAAATCCTGGGGACATCTCGGGCCGGTGCTTCTTCTGGCAACACCCGACACGGGGGGAGTTCCGTTTGTTTTCGCCCCTACCATCCGCGAGGATTCGAAGCACAAGCCAGCGTGACCCCAAACAGTGTGTTTCTAGCAATCTATGTGATCCAATATATGCGGTGCAATCTATGTGGTGCAATATCATGTTGTGCAATCCATGTGGTGCAAACTATGTGGTGCAACATGTGCGTAGCACTACATGTGGTGCAGTCTCTGTGGTGCCATCTATGTTGTGCAATCCATGTCGTGCAATCTATGTTGTGCAATCTATGTGGTGCAACATGTGTTGTGCAATCTACAGTGTGCAATGTATGCAGTGCAATCTATGTGGTGCAATCTATGTGACGCAATCTATGTTGTGCAATTTATGGTGTGTAATGTCGGTGGTGCAATATATGTAGTGCAATCTATCTATGTGGCACAATATTTGTGGTGCAAGCCGTGTTGTGCAATATATGTGATGCAATCTATCTGGTGCAATTCATATTGTGCAGTCTATGTCGAGGCGGCGACAACGGCAACATGGCCGCCAGACCGACAGAAAAGCCCAGGTACGGGCGACGACGTGGCGGCGACAGTGGCAACTTAGCCGCCAGACCGACGGACCGACCCACACGACGGGCGGCGACGAGTTGGCGACGGGGCGGCGACGACGGTAACATAGCCGCCACATCGACAGACAGGCCCGCGACAGGGCGGTGACGGCGGCAACATAGACGCTGGACCGACAGACAGGCCCAGTCCCTTAGAAGAGAAGTATGAGCCTCAAAGTACAAGCACTGTTTGGGGAGGAGCGCAAACATAGAAGCGACATAACATAAACATTCGGAGATCCTCCCGGATGTCTTCTGGCGCTGGACTTCCTTGGAGGCACTTCAAGCGCCGCCCCTGGCGCGCTCCGCGCGCAAGAGAAGGTGGTTCACCGGCGATCCAAGCAATCCGCACGGACCTCCGCAGAGTTATTCCCCAAGCAGTGCTTGCTTTTGTAGTCAACCCGCATAGGATGGATGGGGCAACCTTCCCAAGGGTACCCTTGCATCCTTGCCTCCTCGGCCCATCCTTCGCCGCTTTCGCTGGCCGCGCCCCGCTCGAAAAGCTCTCAAATGGGCGCCCAAGGCCCTTGCATCCTTCTCGCGCGTCCTTTCTATACTGGTTGACTGTAGGGGCTCTTCGTTTTTTTGGTTCGAGGAACTGGGCTCGTGTGCCGTCCCGCCCGGCTTGTCCTCGCCCCCTCGCCGCCCCGTCGCCGCCTGTCGCCCGCCCAGTCGCCGCCTCGTCGCGGACCGGGCTCGTGCCCGCGGCACGACTTTATGCATGGACCACCGCCTGGAGGATCAATTTCCGGGGGACCGCGGCAGGCGGTGATGACTGGCTAGGGGGTGTGGATATCATGGCGCGGGCCATGATGTCTCCCCAGATCTCATGGCGCCTCTTCTTATTCCCCAATCCGTGCTTGCACTGACGGGGTCCCAGCAGAGGTTGAAAGATTTGGCGAAAGTTTCCCGCCGATTTTGGTGGCAGGCTGGGTTCCCGGGTCCCCGGTTCCGGGTTCCCGGGTTCCCGGTCTTGGTTCTGGGCCGATTTCGGTGGGTTCTGGGTTCCCAGGCTCCCGGGTTCCCGGTCGACCTCCCCAGCGGAGATCATCCACTGATTGGGATTATTCTCTAGTGTAATACTTGGACCAACGCCTGGAGGATCAATTTCCGGGGGGCCGCGGCAGGCGGTGGATGTGGACACGTTCGGGCCCCCGGGGGGCCAAACTGTATCCATATCCGCCGCCCACTGGGGCATCAGGAGGTCGCTTCCCAGGAGCCCTCTCCTCCTCCTTCTCCTCCTCCTTCTCCTCCTCCTTCTCCTCCTCCTACTCCTCCTCCTTCTCCTCCTCCTCCTCCACCTCCGCCTCCACCTCCGCCTCCTCCTCCTCCTCCCCCTCCGCCTCGCCTCCGCCTCCTCCTCCGCCTCCTCCTCCTCCTCCTCGCGTTTCTCGCGTTTCTCGCTCCGAGCAGCGTCTCCTCCCTCCTCCTCCTCCTCCTCCTCCTCCTCCTCCTCCTCCTCCTCCTCCTCCTCCTCCTCCTCCTCCTCCTCCTCCTCCTCCTCCTCCTCCTCCTCCTCCTCCTCCTCCTCCTCCTCCTCTCCTCCTCCTCCTCCCCCTCCTCCGCCCCCGCCTCGCATCGTGTGCCGCCCCGTCGCCTTGTCGCCGCCCGTCGCCGCCCCGTCGCTGATCGTGCTCGTGTGCCGCCCCGGCCGTCCAGTGCCCGTCGCCGCCTCGTCGCCGCCCGTCGCCGGCCGCCCCGTTGCCGCTCGCGGCTACTGTGGTCTCCAAGCAGCATAGCTCGTACCGCAGTCGTTCTCCTTTCGTGAAAGAAATCAGGTTCTGCCCCCATCACCCCTCCGGACTTATCGAGCCGGCCTCGCGCACTGCAATCTATACATGATTCCTGTGTTGCCTTCGGTGCCCCGAGGCGCAGATCCGCCGCCGCTTGTCGCTGGAACTCACGTGGGCGACGGAGGAAAGCGGGGGCGACAGGAGCGAGCACTCGCGTGTGAGATTGCTGCGTGATGTCACGCGCGAGCGGCGGCTTCTCCGCGCGGTGCGCCACGCTGGTGGCCCGCAGAAGCCGCGGCGCAAGGCCGGTGCCTCTGCCCTTGTAAGAGTAAATCGGGCTTGTCATTCTACAGGAGTGATATTTAAACATCGTAAAAAATAGTCTGGCGACGATTTTCCGAATATTTTTTGACTATTTTTGAACATCTTTGGGGTATGGGTATGTTTTATTTTTCGTCCCAAATCCGCCTACAGGGGGACACGCCCAACCTGATTGTGGGACCCGTTTCATTGCGTCGCCTTCTTGGGCACTCGCAATCATGCGGCGTTCCAGATCGGGCCGGTAAAGGTTGGAGTAATCCAAACGAGGGCGGGTCCGCCGGCGGAATCCAAAGCCAGCTTTGCAAGAGACGCACATGTTTTTGGATCCAAGATTTTTTGAACGAGCCATTTGTACACAAAAGAGCGCGTTTTGGCGACGCTGGGAAGGAGAGGGGGTTCGAACAGGCCCCCCTCCTGAATTGCCGGGAGGGGGGGGGCCCTTAAGTTAAGGGGGGGGCTTCGAACTGGAGGAGTTGGGGAACCTGAGTGGCAATGGGGGGCGTTCGACCCCCCCCCCCCCCTTGTTGTTGTAGGATTTAATGAGAGCAGGATCGAGCCATAGTGGGATTCAAGTGGAGGTGGATCCGAACCCAGTAGGATTGTATTAGAGCTAGGTCGATCTCCAGCAGGATTATGTTGGATTCACCCGTACTAGGATTCTACTAGAGTCGGTCAGATCGACCACTGCTAAGATGCTATTGGAATTTGTTCGTAGGATTGTATTCGACTTGGATCGAATGGATCGAGATGTAGTAGGATTCAATTAGAGCTGGATCCAGCCTGAGCGGAATTCTATTCGAGCTGGCGAGCGCCTTGGTAATATTATATTAGTTAGAACTTGATTCTGTCTCTCCGGGCGCGCCACAATGTTGAAGGGCGGGGGCGGGGTTGGGCAGTTCCGACGTGTCCCGGGATCTGTTCCAAGCGAGGGTCCACGAAACGCGCGTTATCTTGTACATGTACATGTGTACATGTATTCTTTGCGCTTGTACGATTCATGTGTGCATGTGTGTATACGTACTTATATTTATATGTATATAGATGTATTTAGGCAGAGACTGTACTCATTTTGAGTAGTGAGTTGATCACTTGGGCGGCGGATTTAGCATTCTCCGAAGTCGCATTGCATTGGAGGACATGCTTTCCAACAACTCGCTCATTGATGGGGCGCTGCACCTTTTCCTCCCCATCCTACTAATCTGCCTTTCTCTCTTTTTTTTTTTCTCTCTCCCTCTCTGTGTTATGAGGGCATTTGGGCACACAGTGATAGCCTTCTATGAAGCGCTACTAGACCCGGGGTACTTGTCGTCGATCGTTGGAGCTCCACTATGATCCCGTACGCCTGCAGTTTCTCTGCCCTAGAGCTAAGCTCCATAGCGTGCTCATCAAGGGTACGCGTCCCTTCATCCCCACGGAGGGGAAGCCCCCTGGAGAGGTGGGTGGCAGGGGAGGCCATCCGGTGGCCCCACGAGCCGCTTGACGAGGACTGGCGGCACCCGCGCTGCTTCTGTCTTCTGTTGCCGTCGTCGCTGTCGTTCTGCTCCCGCCCCTGCTCTGCTTTCATAGGCCCGCTCATCTTTGTCCTCCGCCGCCTCTTTTCTTTCGCTACATCCATGGCTCTTCGGAGGATTGGTGGAGGAAACCACCGGTACAGACAGACGCACGGAGGGACGGCGAGGGCGAGAGTGACAGTTTATCGACGGCGGGGGCTGGGAGGGGCAGAGGTTGGTTTGGTGGGGCCCCTCGATGCATGGGGCGACTTCTCAAAGGTTTGTCGGGAGGGGGGGGGGCAAGGTGGGAAGAGCGCCGTGTGCCCTGTGGCCAGAGAGCGGTGGCCCCTCCGGCCTCGCTGCTCAGCGACCATGCCGTGCTCTCCGACTCGGGGGTGGCGGGCTCACTCCTGGGGCACCGGGAGGTCCATAGGGGGAGCCAGGCGGGGTCGCGTACGCCGCGGGCCGCGATTCAGGTTCTATCCGACCGATTCGGCTCGATTCGCTGGCATCGGCCAGGGGGCAGCCAGAGTCTGGGCGCGGCGATGCGATTTCGATTCGATCCGGGACGATTCGCTAACGTTCGGTATCGTTTTAGCCCGATCCGATCGCGCGATTCGCTCCAGCTCAAGCTTGCCAGGTCCGAGCCATGGGGCGGGGGCGGTTTCTCCAGTGGCGGCAAGGATAAGTCGGGCCTGTCCTTCTACAGGAGGAATGTTCAAACATAGTTAAATTATAGCCTGGGAACGATTTTTCTAATCTTTTCGTTTGATTATTTTTGGTGTATTTGTTTGGAATATTTTTTAGTTTTCGCCCAAAATCTGCCTGTAGGGGGACATGCCCGACCTAAGAGTACGGGCGGAGACCACACTCGGTCGGGTAGTGGATCTAGTTTTTGTCTGTACTTGCGAGGATCCCAGGGTCGACCCATAGATAGTTCTTGACCTCCGACGGGACCCCAGCCTCGAACAAACTCCAGTAACCCCTCCCCCTTCCATTGGATAGGTTCGCAGACCCGAGCCGTGCTTTTGACCATGGGAGGATGGAAGGACTTGCCCGAGGAATCAGCGAATCGCTTAAGAATAGCCCCAGGGATATTGTCCGGTCCAGGAGCCGACGCCTGAGCAGCAGAGCAGGATTGTTTTACCCGGCACAGATTGGGAATCTCGTGAAACAATGTTGATGTTTTTGATCGCTTCCTCTGGCAGGTCGGGCAGGCTTGACAAGTACCATAGCAGGTCGCAAGCTGGGACCACTGGAGTAGCTTCCACTAAACTATTGAAGTCAGCGGTTGGTGACATCGACAAATGTGCGGAGAGGCGTACCGTCGGCACCGTACAACATGGGGAGTGGGCGAGAGGATTGCTTCTTGCGAGAACACGCGCCCATAGCCCTAAGCTTAGCGAGCGTGTCCTCGAAGTCTTTGCGTGACCAGGCGGATGCCGCCTGCACAGCTAAATCTTCAGCATGGGCCCGGGCATCCTCGGCAACACTCCTATTGGCAATAAGCGTGTGCATCTCTAGGGCCATGTCCCGAGCAGCCCCGCAGAGGCCGAAGATACGTTGCCCAAGGTCCCAACAGCGTTGGAAACCCAAAGCTCCATGCCCAGGAATAACCCAATGCTGCTGCTCAGTCGCAAACGGAGGTACCTTATAAAAATGCTGCCGTGACAGCGTTCAAAAAGTTCGAAGTATGCCGTCCATTCATCAGCTGTTCGAGCGAAGCGAGGTGGCCTTCTTGAGGCCTGAGCTGGGTCAGCCACTTGCCCAAGGTGGGAGCTAAGTCCAGTAAGCGCGGGACGAAGAGCAACGAACAGGGAAGCACCACGTTGGCTCCAAGACTGCCAGCGCGACCGCATGGAGCGGTGCGAGTAGGTAAGTAAACCACGCCGAAGACAGAACCACTCACCCCTCAAGGAAGACGCCCAAGCGAAGAACAAGATAGCAATCTGAATATTCATGCACGCTCGACACGCCGATTGAACACTTCGTAGCTGAACTGTGCGTTCGTCCATGCGTTCCAGCGAGCCGATCGAAGTCCACGGCTGTCTTGGCTGCCGACCACTCTCCGACCCGCGCACTGGAACCGCTTCTGCAAGGGAATCGTGAAGATGGCGGGTGAAGAACAAAGCAATGGGTAGATGGCGCCAGAGAGAACGGAACTGATGGACACTCTGCCAAGCGTCGTTCAAATACGACAATCGCAACTGCGTCTTCACATTTGCTAGGGTCACACTTCGCTTTGTGCGTACCCTGGGCTGGCAGATGCTGTCTGACGCATGGAATGATGAGCTCTGCTGCTGCAACCGGATGATCGACTGCCGAACTAATTGAGTCGACATCTGTAACCACTTCTTGCTGAATAGCCTTGGGCCTTGGTCCCGAACGAACACGCGATGTTGTCGGTGTGATGACCTCCATACAAGCCTTTCGACTTAGGTGGGAACCACGTAGCTGTGGTAGGGACCCTGGACTCGAGGAACGTGGAAGGAAGCCATAGACCAGAGTCTTCCAGGAATTGATGAATTGATGAACAGGGAGATGAAGGAGGAGGAGGAGGAGGAGGAGAAACATGATGATGATGATGATGATGATGATGATGATGACGACGATGATGATGATGATGATGATGATGATGAGGATGATGATGATGACGATGGTGATGATGATGATGATGATGGTGGTGATGATGATGATGATGATACTGATGATGATGATGATGATGATGATGATGAAGATGCTGATGATGATGATGATTATGATGATGATGATGATGATGATGC